TGTGACGGAGTAGTAAGCTATAGATTTCAGACACCAAGTTAGACTACGCCACCCATGGGAATTTCACCCGGGAAAAATATGAATGATCCTAAAAATTTAGGTCACACAGGTTTGACTCTCATAAAAAGGTAGGCAGAAACGTGGTATCATGAAATAAATACATTTATTATTAGAAAATCCTATTTAAAAGAGAGCATGAAATTCACAATAACCTCAGTTGCACCAGGATGGCTTCAGATGGATAATTATGGCATGGCAGACATGAGTGTTTAACGAAACAAAAAAACACAGGCAACAAATGACATAACACAATGTACAAAAACTAATGACCACACAACTGAAAAACAAGACTGCAACCTTACAGGGCCGGCGAAGTGATCATAAAGCTAGTCAGTCAAAAGCACACTTGCACACTCACAACACCGTGCTCTCAGCTCACACAACCAAACACTTCAAAAGTGCTGCACGGCAACCGTGGAAGGAGCACCACCACCACCACAAGAGACCCTTCACCAGTGGGACCTCGGCGACTGAAAGGAAATACAAAAAAAGAAACAAATCTCAAAACAGTACAATAAATCACAATTTGATTATGGTATAATCACAAGCACAGGCAGGAATAAAGTCCTGTCAAATCAAATCCAGGACAATACACAGTTTTTGGGCACAATAAACAAATTAACTCAATACCAATAATGATGTAAACAAACTTGAAAGGAGCAACCGCAAAATTATATTCCCCTTACAAATTATTGAATGGCAACCCAAAAATACACTAAACAATGATATAAAGAAACCAGACAGCGACAATCCATCAGATCAGCTGGAAAATACAGCGTTCTCGTAGTATGACGGAGGGAAGACAAACAGGACTGCGACTACAGCCGAAACGGATCGCTCACGAGTGAGAGAGAGAGAATCCGAAGAAATGGAAGTGAGCTCTAATATCCCTTCACCAGCACGGGTATGCGGTATTCAGGCAATTGCCGTTCAGCGGAGATACAGCGGAGATACAGGGAATACTGCACACAATGCAAAATATCAACCCCAACCCCACAGGACTAACCAATCTGCGTTCTCAAAAAACGCCTTGCACTTACCGGAGAGATTAGCAGTCTTAGCATACACTTTAAACAAGCCAAGGGTGCCAGGAGGAGAAAAGACAGGCTAGGAAGCATCAATGAATCATTACTCCCACGCATACAGAAAAAAAACGGAACTCGCTACATGCTAATGGCGCATACCTGTGTCCACTGTCAACAACAGCTACGGGGAGGAGTCGGACATGACGCATCCCATGCCACAGCCAACCAGATCTTAAATAGGGGGAACTCTTTACTGATAGGTGCTCATAAACGTCAATCACTACTCATTTCATTCGGTTACAATTACATAGGCCAATTTTTGACCTCCAGGAACATTTTTATGGCCCAGGGGTCCTTGGTCTGTGGGTTATTAAACCATACTTTGAGTCAAGTAATAAAAAAACGGTTGTTTGTGTTTGTAGCTCCGGAGAATTTCTTCACTAATCCTTGATTTTCTTCTTTACCACTTATTTATAAACAAGCACTTTCTATTTTTATATTATGTGAACTTATCCTCGATAGTATTCCTTATAAAAAACAATTGGATTGCTTTGATATCGCTACTTATATCCAACCTTCCTAATCCTGGCTACTAGCCTTTAGCCCGCTAGCATTCCACGCGTGCCCTCTCGCCTATTGATCGTCTCATTTTACACCCGTTTCACTGAATCCTGGTTATTTCCGACATTTCAATCCTAAATTAGTAGTGATAGTTGTAGTATCACTACTAATTTACTGATCATCCGTTATAATGCGAACATATCAGATGCGTGTCTAACATTACCTTTGAGTGCAGGTGAAGACACATTCGAGCTCTTCACGGTGAAGCAGGAGCTGGAATACGTCGAGAAACAGATCCGCGGTTTGCTGGCAAGCAATCCGAGCTGTTGGATCGGCGCTCAACGCTTGAAGCATCACGCGCCGACGCTCACAAATCAAATCACTCTTTGACTCCGAGTTCGTCTTCTCCGTATGTTACTCTGCCGAGGAAGATGCGATCATCTCAGGCTTCATTCACTCCGGCACCGAAACAACATGGACCATGGATCACACAGCGGAAGACACGAGCCAGGACCAGAGCTGCCTCTCCGCCCCTCCCGGTCTTCCAGATCTCCACCCGGAACCGCTTCTCCCCTCTTCGCGAGCCGGAACGCGATGACGCCGTGATCATCGGCACATCCATAGTCCGCCATGTCCGCGCTAATTCGGATAAAGGTAAGGTGCGCACTCACTGCTTTCCTGGTGCTCGTGTTCTTGATGTCGCTGCACAGGTTCCTGAGATCCTGAACGGGGACGAGCGCGTCGGAGCTGTTGTGCTGCACGCGGGAGCGAACGACATTAGGCTGCGGCAGACGGAGGTTCTGAAGAAGGACTACAGGAGCCTGATCGAGACGGTACGCAGCACAGCGCCTAAAGCAGCGATCATCGTGTCTGGACCGCTTCCCACGTACAGACAAGGACAGGAAACGTTCAGTAGACTTTTTGCATTAAATGAATGGTTAATGTCATTGTGTAATGAACAGAGGCTGCACTTTGTAAATAACTGGCATCTGTTTTGGGAAAGACCGAGGCTGTACAGCACAGATGGACTCCATCCCAGCCGAATCGGAGCGGCTGTGCTGTCGGACAACATTTCCAAGACACTACGCACCAGATGACTAATGAGTCAAAGTCCAAATTACAGCCTTTGCGGTCCAAACTTAACTAATAAGCATAGTGTGGAACATTATATAGAAACTGTGTCTATTCCTCGTTTAGTGAAGCCAAACAATAAATCTAGTGTAGGATCTAGCAAAAATCTTATTGTAATTAAACCAGAAAACCTAAATATCAGTGAACAAAAACAATTTCTAAAGCTAGGTCTCCTAAACATTAGATCGCTCACACCTAAGGCGGTTATTGTAAATGAAATCACAGACAATAACTTCGATGTTCTGTGCCTTACTGAAACCTGGCTTAAACCAAATGAGTATTTCGGTCTAAACGAATCTACTCCGCCAGGATACTGTTATAAACATGAGCCTCGTCTGATCGGTCGTGGCGGCGGTGTTGCAACAATCTATAAAGATATTTTTAATATTACTCAGAAAACAGGTCACAGGTTTAATTCATTTGAAGTACTTGTGCTAAATGTTACGCTCTTAGATGTAAGAAGGAAATCCATATTATCTCTAGCCCTGGCTACTGTATATAGACCTCCAGGGCCATATGCTGAATTCCTAAAAGAGTTTGCAGACTTTCTCTCGGATCTATTGGTAAATGTCGATAAAGCAATAATTGCTGGAGATTTTAACATACACGTAGATAATACAAATTATGCTTTAGGGGCTGCGTTTACAGACTTATTAAACTCCTTTGGGGTCAAACAAAACGTCAGTGGTCCCACTCATCGTCTAAATCATACACTAGATTTAATTATATCATATGGAACCAATCCAACTGATATAGATATTATACCGCAAAGCGATGATGTCACTGATCATTACATGGTGACTTGCATAATACGTACTTATGAAATATGTCATGTTGCACCACGTTATAGACCAGGCAGAACAATCCTTCCAACCACTATAGATGGATTTTCAAATAGCTTACCTGATCTATCTAAGCTGCAAAGTGAACCCAAACAAACAGATGAATTAGAGGAAATGACTAGCAGTTTAAGCACCATTCTTACTAGTACATTAGATATTGTTGCGCCAATTAGATTAAAAAAGGTTCGAGAGAAAATTAAAGCACCATGGTACAACAGTGCTACACATGCTATCAAGAGAGAAACTCGCAACTTAGAGCGTAAATGGAAACAAACTAATTTAGAGGTCTTTAGAATCACGTGGAAAGACAGTATGTCACGTTATAAAAAGACACTAAAAACAGCCAGGGCTGAGCATCTCCGCAAACTAATCGAAAATAACCAAAATAATCCAAGGTTTTTATTTAACACCGTGGCTAGACTAACAAATAAACAGACATCACCAGAGCAAAATATACCGTTACAGTTTAGTAGTAATGATTTTATGAATTACTTCAATGCGAAAATAGAAAGCATCCGAAACAAAATTATAAATGTACAATCCGCTATGGTGTCTTATGATTCAGCTTCAATTATGGACCCTCTAGAACAACTACACCGCTTTACAACGATAGGACAGGAGGAGCTAAATAAACTTATCATTGCATCTAAACCAACAACATGTTTATTAGATCCAATACCCACTAAACTACTGAAAGAACTATTACCTGTAGTGGAAGAGCCTCTCCTCAATATTATTAACTCGTCTTTATCTTTAGGTCATGTCCCAAAAATATACAAGCTGGCTGTAATAAAACCGCTCATTAAGAAACCGCAATACATAGTTCCCACATGACGTCACAACATACGGGCATTTGCCGACCCGGCGCCATTGCTTAGGGCAAAACATAAGAAGAAGCAATACGAGTTGAACGAAGTGAAATGAGTTTCGTGCTATAAAGTGAAAATGGTCATCTCCTGCTGAGTCAATGGATGATAAAATCGTGCCAGAGGTTCAGTTAAATCGGGATTTTACACTATACCCGTCATTAGACTCCATATGGATGTGAGAAGACTAAGCTTTGGTCCGAACAACGACGGAGATTATGGCTGGCGAGCATAAACAGGAAAGAAACTCACTCAAAACACGCAAGAATTTGTTTGACAAAAGCACAATGTTGTGTTTTATTGCGAGTGTAAATAAATATAAGTTAACACATTGCAGTTTGAATAATGTCCTGTATGAACAAAATGACGAGGTATTAAAAACATACAAAACAACATTGTTTCCACTGTTTGATCTCACATTCCAGCATTGCAATCTCAGATTATGTCCCTAAAGATCCCGCGTATAATGTAGTTCCTCATTACATTAATTAAATTGCACGCGAGTTATTTATTTTAATATTCATGCACCGAACCATGACCCCGCAAGTACATGCATATTACAGAAATCACCGGTGACTGGGGAACATAGGAATTAAGTTGTGCAGACTATGGCTTTTTAATAGACAGATTAGCATCATGCTACTTCGCTATGATGACTTAAGTTACTTTTCCATTGATTGCACTTGAGCAAAACGTCACCAAACCAACCCCACGTCAATCTGATCGTACACCTCCAGTGATTTCCAGGCTTGGAATTGCTCACATGTGTAAAAACTCCTCACCAATACCAGATAATTGTACACATGAAAATACTGTATCTGAGGCAAAGTTGCATAATCGGTGCTCAGTGCTTCTTTTGTTGCATAAGGATTACACACCATTTATGAATGAAATTTTCGCATTGTACCTCTCTATGTCTTGTTTTAATAGTCTCTTTATAATCTATTACACTTTGTCTTTTCATGATTTGCATAACAATATAAACAGACATAAATATTTATTTGTAAAACGACATTCTCTGATAAAACGTTGTAAACGCCTATGGTAAACACAGCGGTTTTGCCCTCAAAGATGGCGTCTCCGGGGAGGTCACGTGACAATTTTTTTGCCTGTGGGAACTATGTATTAGATCCAAATAACTTGGCAAATTACAGACCCATTTCAAATCTTCCATTTATGTCCAAAATACTTGAAAAAGTAGTGTCCGCTCAATTGTGCTCTTTTTTGCAAGAAAATGATATCTATGAAAAATTCCAGTCAGGATTCAGACCGCATCATAGTACTGAAACTGCGCTAGTTAAAATTACAAATGATTTACTTTTAGCTTCTGACCAAGGCTGTATCTCAATACTAGTCCTACTTGATCTTAGCGCTGCGTTCGACACTATAGATCATATAATACTCTTGGATCGACTACAAAACTTCACCGGTGTCCAGGGACAGGCATTAAGCTGGTTTAGATCGTACTTATCGGACCGTTCTCATTTTGTCTGTTTTAAATGGGAAAAAATCAAAGATAACGTCAGTAGACTATGGAGTACCGCAAGGATCGGTTTTAGGCCCTCTGCTATTCTCAATATATATGCTGCCACTTGGTAATATTATAAGAAAACATGGAATTAATTTCCACTGTTACGCTGACGACACTCAATTATATATTTCATCACGACCAGATGAAAACACTAACTCATCTAAAATGACAGAGTGTCTCAAAGATATAAAATGCTGGATGACGCGTAATTTCCTGCTATTAAATTCAGATAAAACGGAGGTATTACTTATTGGTCCAAAAAACTACTCA